GACTCATTTCCATACAAAAGCCCATTACAACATTTCTCTCCTGTCACCCTCTGTTCCCCCCTCACCACAGACCTGTTGGTCACTTCAGTCCTACACAAGTTTTACTAACTTAACTCCTCATTAAAGGCTCTGGCTCCTAAAACTAATGACCTGGAAACAGACAAAGAAAGAGTGAATTCTGGTTCAAATGCAGCATGCTTTATAAAGTCTGCAGGAGTGAGGACTGTCTCGAACAAGTCAGGTGACCAACTTTGATTTAATAAAAGACAATTAAGTGTCTACATTGAGCTGCACTTACTTTTGACTCACGTTGTCTCCTAGTTTTGAAGCAGTTTGGGAAGCTAAAGGATCTCACCTGACTGGCTGCGTGTCTCTAAACTCTCACACACACACTTAGACTAACAAGCACACACTCCTAAACACCAAAGTGAGTATATGTGTTGGTTGGACCTGCTTGCACAAGTTAGCTTTAAAATGATTAACCCTCCACAACCAGCAGTCCTAAACTTTTCATTTTCAAATTAATCAATGGTGAATCCAAAAGAAAATGGGAAAATTATTTTAAAGTGGTTCCCAAAGAGGTACACAGTTTAATAAGGGGGTCCGGTTACCCTTTGAACAACATGTTTTTTGCCATATTGACGACACGAGCTACAAAAAACAAACTACAAAGTACTTACTCCAAAGGATAGAAAGTAGTACCCATTTAAACATCAGGCTGATGTCACTCCCAGCAAGTGAACAATCAAGATCACATGTAAGCATTCAAAATAAATAAATAAAACCAGACAAACAGTGGAGACAATCTCATTTACAGGTTGTGATTGGAGGACAACCTGAGACACTTTATGAGAAGATGAGTCCCATCATGTTTCATCGTCCTCAGGAGTTTATCAGGACTTACCTTGAGGCAGAGTTCCTCCCACTGACAGTGCCAGGTGCTCCACCTGCTCCTGCAGCAGCAGGACGTCGTCGGCGATGATGTACTGGGACAGGTCCGTCTTCATGGTGCTCAGCTCTGTCAGGCTCTCAGCCCAGTCCTCCAGGCAGTCCTCGTTCTCCTGCATACCATAACACAGCGAGCGCCACAACAAACTGTCAGACCTTCTCTCCCACAGCTCACTCTAAAGATACTCCCTGATGTCTCTGTCTGCCCGGCCCCCTTTCTCTCTCCCTGTCTCTCTTTTCTCTCTTTCTCTCTCTTTCTACTGGCCCAGAGAGGATTAATGAGGGCCACAGGCTGCAGGCCGGCCGGGGGAGGGGTGCATTGGAGGGGGGAGGGGAGGGGATTGAGGGAGGGGTGGGGGATAAAGGCAGTGATGGGTCAGAGAGGATGTGTTGAGACAAACCCGTTTCAAACTTGGCTTTGCATTCTTTGACCTCTAGTGATCGTTTTCACCGAAGGCTCCAAGTCTGTGTGAAGTTGCTTCCTCATGTCCTTAAACATGTCTTCTTCACAAACTGTTTAGTCTGGTTTAGATATTTTAAAAAGGGGCTTTTATCGCTATTGTCACTATGAAAAGTTATGTGAATCTAAACTTTACATCTGTATCAATGGATTATAATCTAGTCTTTTTATTCATTGAAGTCATTTTCAAAAAGATGGTGCTTAGCGCTATCGTGTAATGCAGTACAACTCACAGCAGAATAAAAAGCCCAACTTTATAGGGAGTAGTAGAACATTTTGGGACAAAGTTTATTCAGGGGATTAAATTGGTTTCAATTATTCCGTTCTTTCAAAAAAATACACGATACATTTAAAACCCACCTGTTACATTCAGGGTCAAATTGACCCTTTTGAAAGTTTGAAAATCTACGAAAAATTGCCCTATCCCTCTTCTTGATCCACTTAATTAGTACACCTTAATAAATATAAAAGAACATGTGATTATTAATGCCTAAGGCTGCATTCACACCATATCCTGCACCCTATTTGGTGTAATAGTGTTGGTGAGTTCGGGCTCCTGTGATGAGAGCCCAAAGGGATGCGGATCTTTTTTTAGCCCTTTTAGAAGATGAAACAAATTCAGTTTTGGAGAAGTCAGATTGCAGTAGCCAATCGCATAACCATGTTTAATGGGTAATTTCATATAAATGGGTCAATCAAAGAAGTGTAACTCAAATGAATGCCTGATTTGGTGTGAAAGCAGCCTTTTGGCTCAAACCAGTGAGGTCTAACTCCACCATAATTACTGCACAGTGTCTCCTTCTCTGCACAGGATGTTTAGTATAGAAATAAAACTGCCAGTGGACAGAACAGTGTGTGTTTTTGTGTTGTGTTTGTGAGACCAGCTGTGTGCAGATGTACCTTGATGTATTTCTCGGCACTCTGCAGCTCCTCTACAAAATCTGGCATCGATTCGTTAAGTCTGGTCTTCAAGTCCTTCAGCTGCAGCGTGCTGTCTCCCAGTCCGGCCTCGCAGCGCTCCCAGTTCTGTCACACAGTCAAAAACTGCTTAGAAACTCTTTACTCACACAGATCGATGCTGTGGGATCTGAACCTGCTGATAAGGCTTTGAGAACGACTTCTTTGTCTTTGGCTTCCTAAACCTATCCACAGTCATTAATTAGAGCAGATTACATTAACTTGGCCGCTCGCGATGCAAACAGAATCTGTCAGAGGCCGAGGACAGAAGGAGGATTCAGGTGTACCAGTCAGAGATTAGGTGGTGACAAAAAACATCAACAATAACTGCATATTTCTTTAAGGTTTTTTAAAGACACATTTTGTAAATCTTTGCTTGTGTCAGGAAAATGCTAACATTTTATAAAAATGAATTAATATTAAAAAAATATGCTCAATCAATGATATAGAAACTCTCCAGACCAAACATCAGTAACAGTGGGTTGAATTTGCAAAAATGAAATTAGGGCTATAAATAACAATTATTAAACATTTTCTAAACTATTAATAGTTTTTTGTATTTAAAATGTCCGGAAACAGACAAGAGGCCAAATGGATGTCTTTACAACATGACTTGCCTTGTCCAACAAAACATCAGAATATTCAATTGAGAAGGATATGAAGCAGAAAGAAACAATTAAACAAACTGACATTAGTAAATAAAATAACAGAGAAGGTTTGAAGATTTTTCTTGCAGCAGTAGATACGTTTCTTCCTGCCTTGACCACAGACCATTAAAACAAATGTTGGGCCCAATCCATGACCAGGACCATGGGGTCCCAGTCCAGACCCAATCCCAATAAGGCCAATTAAAACCAAGTCTAACCCATTACAAGCAAACACCCGAAGTAGGCAGCATATTTACATTTAAAAAAAGGTAGTTAAGTCCAACATGGACACGGAGACCAGGACCAAGTCATGTAGGTACAAAACACTTTTCCAAAAAACAGCAGACTAAGATCTAAAAGGTGCTTTAAAATACCTGAAGGCATCACTTCATCTGCTGCTAAACCACAGTGAGTTAAGAGAACTTCCTTGCCTGCACGATAGCGTCGGTGAGGTCCATCCTCCGGCCCAACAGGCTGTGGAGCTTCTCCCAATCCTCCTGCAGGTTTCCCAGGTCCGTCTGCAGCTGAGTCTGGGTCTCCTCGTCCCCCATGGAGAAGAGCTGCCGGCCCACTTCCAGAGTGTGGATGAAGCTGCACTGATACCTCTGGAACAACAGCTCCGTATGCTGAGGACAGATTATATAAAAGATGACTTTTAAAAAGGACAGGAGAGAAAGAAAGGAAGACAGAAAGAGACCTGGAGAGAAAGCTTAGCACTGAAATGCTCTGTGATTTCTGCAGTGAAGGGTTCCCTTTTATTGAGAAGCAGCTATCTGCTCCTGTTCATCTTAATCAAGCGCTCACAAGACTTAGAAAATAATCACTCTTTCTTATCTCTTTTGTTTGTCCTTTTATGTAAATGTAATCATGAGCAGTTGTTTCCTTTTCCTAAGTCTCAAACCAGGCCTCAGGCGGAGGTTTAGTTCCTGTTTGTGGTAACGACGGATCTTTATCTCAACTAACAGTGTTTTAAACTCATTCATAAAAACAGCCAAGTTGTTTCTGGAGGGTGTGAAAGTGAAAAAGTAGATAGTAGGAACAGTCAGATTCAGGAAAGGGACAAGGATTGTATTAAAGAAGATGTAAATAACATAATCCACTCAGACCATACCATAGATCTGATGCTGTCATTTATTGCTGCGAATCTTTGCTTTTTTACATTAGAATATTCTGTCCTTGATGTTTAAAGAGGCCATATTATCCTTTTTGGGGTTGTCCAGGTTTTAAAATCCCTCTGTTCCCTCCAGGGTGAGTTTCTCTTCCACAAACTCCCCCGGGCCTGAAACGCCTCGGACTCTTTTGTTTACTTCCGTACATAGTGACATCTCTATTGTAACACTTGCGCTCCTATTGGCTAGCGCTCCAACACATGTACGTGATAAGGGGAAGGAGAGGCTAAGGGGAGGGACAGCTCTAAGCGGTTTTTGACCAATCACAACAGATATCTCCCTGTGTGGAATAATGAATTCCCTCACCTGCAGGTCCTGGAGGGAGCGTCTCAGCTGCTGCAGGCTGCAGTGTGCCGGGCCGGCGGGGGGGAGGAGGGTCTGCGTCTCCGTCAGGAACCTCTGCAGCTTCTTCAGGCTGCGGCTGTACAGGTGCCAGTTCCTCAGCAGCCCCTCCACCAGGCAGCGCCGCTGGTCCGCCCGCTGCACCGCCCCCTGCCAGTGCTCCCGGAGGTGGGTGAGCTTCAGGATGAAGTCACTCCTGGATAACACAGTTAAGAAATGATGGTAAACTTTCCCTTACCCTTTCAATACCACAATGATAATACACTTTGATCTTCTTACCTGTCCTCCACCTCTCCTCTCTGCAGCAGATGAAGAGCTTCAGTGATGACGGAATGCAGGATCTGGTGTCCAGAAAACAGCTCTGTCTGAAAACGCTGAAACACCATAAGAGATCAGGATTCCATCTCTGTGTGTTGAAGGGTTTTCAGATCTTTTGTGATTGAGTGGTGGATTCAGATACCTTGTGTGTGCAGAGCTGCTGTCTGAGGCCGGTGTAGGAGCCGGCCACGTCCACAGCCAGGCTGTCCTCCATCCTCTGCAGGAAGGACATCCAGCTCTCACACTTCTGCTCAAAGCTCTGCCGCCTCAGAGCCTCCGTCTGAAGCTCACTGCACACAGAAAACAATACACTGTTGGAGAAAAACAGATCATCTCAAATCTGCTAAGTGCTGCACTACATTTCTTTCATGTACAACATGAATTTAGAGTTTAATGGGGTCAAAATCTGTCCTTAAATGTTTTTATTTTGTACTTCTTTTACTCTCACATTTTGAATCAAACCTTAAAAGAATTTTGTGATTTCACTTATAGCATGACAATAAGGTGTTGAACAAAGTGTTTATAAAGATCTATGTTATTTGGAGTATATGCTGAGCCTGAGCGTCTGATGATAGTTTTGGTACAAAGTGTAGGATCACAGAGTGTGTTTTTAGTGTTAGCAACAGGGCAAGTAATCATAAAATCAATCTCACTATTAAATATCCAGATCTTTTACTACAAAGGCATAGTCAAATTATACCTTTTGGTACATGACATAAACTATAACTTACCTGCAGGTCTCCTCAGCTCGGGCGGAGGTTTCGGTCCAGCGATTGTTGAGGCGTTGCAGGCGGCGCGCTGCAGCGTCTCCGACCGTCAGGCTGCAGCTCTGCTCATTCAGTACGTCCAGATCAGCTGACAGGCCGCTCAGCTCGAGGAGGCCAGACTGGAAACACATGGTGGCAGCTCAGATCACAAAGTCTGAACTACTGCATGCATGACATTACAGCTGAGAAATACTTCATGCTTTAAACTTGTTCTGTGATCTTCTGTCCACATGTAATCTTCTAATATATTTAGTTTTTGACTCGTGGTTTGGAACATTTCTCAGGTGTAGATAAACCTAATATTCATAGCTTTAAGTGTCCTTAAAGGTCCAGACCTTTGGAAACTAGTGCAAAAACCAGATTCAGTATGTTTATCACAATAACAATTCAAGACATCTTTGTAGGATTAAAACAGAGAGGAAGAAGCAGTACTACAATCATCCTAAACTCAGTACATTTTCTCTCACCTGGTCTGCGGTGGGACTCACATCCTGCAGTCGCTCCTGCCAGAGCTGCAGGTTTCCCTCCAGAGACTTCAGGACGCTTTTCAAACTCCTGCAGCCGCTGAAGCTCCTCCTGCACGGAAACATGACACATGACTCACAGCCTACTGGGTCTTAATTTATAGGTCACTCTGATACTTAGTGCAAACAGGTGGCAGGTTACACAACACACAAGTTATGCAGTACTCTGGAAAATCGCCTGCATCACAGAGCATATCCTAAAGTATCTACTAACTTGAGCATAAGAAATGTATTTGAACTTTTTCTAAACAATAACAATAAAACAACATTTTGAATTAAATAAGTTTGGATGAGCAAAACGTATCAGTTATGCATTGTAAATGATTAAAAAGCCACAAAAATCAGCAGCATGTAACAGTAAAAGGCTTATATTTGGGTTTGTTTACATACAAATGTTAATTAGCTGAGCCTTTTTTAATCTGACAGCTCATATCAATAATTTTCCTCAGGTAAAATGTTTCTTTGCTTCAGTATCACTGTGTACAGTTGTCTGAGTGACCTAGGACACAACACATCCAAAATAACTTTGTCCAATCCCATAAACACACTCAGTGAATCAGCGAGTTGTACCTGCAGCTGACCCAGCTTCCTCGCCACCATCTGGCCGAGCTGCTGAACTCCACGTGCCAACAAGCGGCTCTCTGATTGGACCAGACTGGCAGCTAAAGGGTCCAGGTGACCAGTGAGGTCCTTGGAGACCTTCAGCACCCCCTCCAGGTCGGACTGCAGAGAGTCTGTCCTCTCCAGGAGACTCTGGAGCGCAGAACAAAAACAGATTTAGGTAAGATTTAGGTATTCCTTCAGAAACAGTTTAATGTTTTATATTAACTTAGCACAAGTAAACTAAGAAATCATACTCAAAATCTTTACATCTAATAAATCAAGGATTCAGGTATTTTTATGGCATTTTCAGACAGATTAAGAGTATGCACAAGTTTCAGAAAAAAATAACAATATACTTTACAAAACATGTAAATGGCGCTTGAAATAAGTAAAAACAAAGTAAAACAAAGGACATTTAAAAGACAGACATTGGAGGTGCTTGGATAGTAAAGCTGAGTCAACATGGAGTTTACATCTATTTTAGTGTTAAGTGTTCTGATTTAACTTCCTGTCAAGCTTTGAAATATTTGTTTGTGTTATTTATTTATTTCCTCACCTGAGCGTTGTGTACCCTGACAGTGAGCTGCTCCACAGTGTCCTGTTCTCCAGGCGCTCCACTCAGTGCTGAGGTGACATCGCTCTGCAGCGTCTGCAGCCGGGCGGAGAGAGACGCAGCCGGCCGGGCGTACACCTCCCACAGCTGCAGGACGTCCTGACCCCTCTGGACCTGCTGGTCCAACGCTCTGGACGATTCTGTCCAACTGGAGGACAAGAGGAGGATGGATTTAATAAAGAGAGTTATTGTGTAATTAAAACAATTAAAATATCAAAGGTTTTATTGTCATATGCTCAAAATCTACAGAGTAGTTGTTTGCATGGAAATCTGAAGTCCCAGGCCCCGCTAACAGAGCAATATACACTAAGGTCTTAAAATAAATAAGGTATTAAATAGTGCAAGTAATACAATGGCGCAAGTAAACGCTTGACTAAGTGTGTCATTTGTCTGTGTGTTTTGTGAGTGTGTGTGGGTCTCACCTGTCCCTCTGTCTGTCCAGCTGCTGTGTGAGGAGAGTCTCAGCAGTAGGACTGATGATGTCTTTGAGGGAGGAGACGCTTTGATTTAATCTGTCCCACTCTGCCTCTGAAGCTGCTGTCTCCTCATGAAGAAGCTGCTTCCAACAATGAAAACAGCATTAAATGATCAGTTGTTCCAAAATAAATGAAGTTCTTACTGGACATTTGATTGAGAAACCATAGAGCCTTTTCACATTCACTACATGTAGCAAAAGTTGCATGGGGTGAATACAATATTTGTGATGAGTAGTCCTACCTGCAGCTTTCCATGCAGATCTCTGTGTGCCTGCAGGCAGAGCTGAGGGCTGCTGTGATACTCAAGAGTCTGAGACCTTCTCACTGTTTTCAGCATCATCTGCTTCAGCTGCTTCTCCACACAATCCCACAGCTGCTGTGCCTCAACCAGCCTCTGTTTGACTGAGTCATGCTGTTAATGACCAGACAGGATGTTTCATTATCGGGAGAAAAAGACATAACCAGAAGACAAAGACCAAACAATATATATTTAAGATAAAGCTGGCAAAAATGACCTCACAACATTCCTACCCAAAGCCCAATAGTTTATTAAAGTATGAATACATTTGGCATAATTGTTACTATTGATGCTATGTATCATGGGTTGTATTCAATTTGCTGATGGTAATTAGGCAAGATAAAAGTCATCCAACGAGAGGTCACACAAGAACAAAACCTGAAACATTTTCTTTAAAGTGGACCTATCATGCTATATTTGAATAATATAGTGTAGGACCATACCTATATAAGGCATATTTATACTTTTTTTTTTTCAAAATACCAAACAGATCATGCATTTTAGCCATGCCTCATTTCGCTCAATTTGAAAAATGTTAGCTCTGTTTTTGCAAGGGTTGATTCTGTGAGCAACAGCACCATCTAGAGGCCTGGCATATGTACTACAGCGTCTCCAGCGCTTTCGAACGGCAATGCCGTGGCTGTCTCCTCCTGATTGGTGAAGTTGGCCCAATAGCCGTAGCGCCACCCGTCCTAACGTCAGGACAGTTTTCAAATCTGGATCAGTTTTGATCAGATCCGTTGCAGGCCCCTTTTTTAGAGATTTGGGTATGGAGGAAAATAGAGAGGGTTGTGTTTTCTGACACTTGGTGAGTTCCCTGGAACACCGGGGACACATATTCATGTATAAAAGACGTACAAAAGTGCATTTTGCATGATAGGTCCCCTTTAAGTTTTTTTGCTAAATGCAGTCTTTATTTTTTCAATTTGTTTGAATCTTTTCTGTTGTTGTTTTTATTTATTTTATAATAGTTAAAGACATTTTAACAATGTAAGGCGCTTAGTGAATTTGCTTTTAGAAGTGCTGTGTAAATACCTTTTTTAATTGTTATTATTTTTTCCTCTACAACCAAAACTATTTCCACATCTTAATTTCCTCACTCATTCACCTGTTGTGTGAGAGCTGCACAGGCCTGGATGGATGTATCTGTTTTAGACATTAAATCACAGCTGCTGTTTTCTCCTCCATCAAGTTTGCCTCTCATCTCCTGAAGAGCTTCACACCTCTGCCTGATCTTCTCCTCAAGATCCTGAAACACAGAGCAAACAAACAAAGAGGTAAACAAATTATTTTCGTGGTGAAGACTTTAAGCTTTATGACTTTCCAAATCCTGAAAAGGCACATTTTCTACAGGTGCTTGATTGATAGTGCAGATGTGACCTCTGACCTGGCAGGTGCTGATGCTCTGGAGCAGCTCCGTCTGGCTGCTGGGTGTCTGAGCAGACTTCATCCAGAGGATCTGATCTGTGATCCAGCTGTTGATCTGCTGCAGGCGGGCCTCATGCTCCACCCTGCTCCTCAGCTCCTGCTCCACCTTCTGGATCTGATCACCATAAACAACATCAGGTCAAACATATTACATAATACATTTAAAAAAGTGAAAACTTAGTTAACGTTGTTGGTAAAAAGGCAAATGTTTGCTACAACTAATATGCTTTTACCATGTCCCCAAAGGAAAGTGAGTCAATCCATTTACATGCAGCCTAAAATGTGATATGGTGGAAAGCTCCATACAAAAAATAACTTGTGAGTGGATCATGAGTCAGATGTGTTTATTCAATCTACAATTTCCCAAAATAAAACCTAATTTTATCCTCAACTTTTTAACCAACATATATTAGAAGCCTGAAAGTGCTATGGGTGAATCATAACTACCACTGAGCTAGCATGTCAGCAGATCCAATCCCATTAAAAACCTTACCCACTGAAAAAGACCATGTGATGCAATTGAACATATGAGAAAAACAAAATAAGTATCTTTGATTTGTTGTTTGCTTTCTGACCTGAGATTGCAGAGTTCCCTGCAGACTGAGCCACTGATGGTTGAGACGACCCTGCTCCTCTGCAAACAGGTTGTGTTCATAGCGCCCCCTCTGGCCCTCATCGGAACTGCAGGTCTGTCGCAGCTGGCTCACAAAGTCCAGTGTGGCGTTATGGGCCGACATTTCTGTCCGACACTCCTGAGGAAAATGCCATAGAGGGAGAGAGAGTCAATCAACTAGATACACAACTAATCACAATGATATCTTTAGTAGTTCAATGAATGCACTAAAAACTATTCACTACTACAGGATGAAAACACTTCAGGAATCGGGACATTTGTGGCAGTGCATGCTTCAGCACTTCTTTACCTTGCAGTATTTCAGGAGCTGACTCAGATCAGTGTTGGGGGAGGTTTGTGTGATCCTGCTGCGATGCTCCTCCAGCTGTGACTCAGCAGAAAGAAGCCAGGCCTGCAGCTCAGACAGGGCCTCCTGCTGGGTCAACGTCTGCATCCATCGCTGAGGAGGAAGAGGAGGAGGAGGAGAGGGAAGAGGAAAGAGGAGATAGAGGAGGAGTGAATGACTTCATTGATGTCAAACAGTTACAACACTACTTACTCAGACTACAAACAGAACTGGTAAGTTTGCTTTATTTTATTCACTGTTTCAGTCATCTGACCTTCAAGACATCCTTTCGTAGTCCTCAAAAAAGCCAATACAAATTCAGGTAGTCCAGAATTTCACATTTTGGTTAGTTTAAGATATATATACACTGAATATGTGTTTTTTGTGAAGTATTTTTATTTTTTCATGCATATGTAAGTACAGAAAGTAAGTAAGTACTTGTTTTAAATTGTGTATACATTTGCTCATTTGTGAGAACAAATGACATGTGTTCACCTGAAATAAGCCTTCAAAAACAATCTTAAAATCAATCTCGAAAACAGGGTGAGCCGAGGGCAAAACAGCAGATGGAGGGGAGAGAAAAACTCAAACTGAATAAGAAGAGTTGACAAAAACTAAGGAGAGGGGGAGAAAATAGAGGAATGGAAGATAATACGAACAGCAGGGAGAGGAGATGAGATGGAAAGGAAGAGAGGAGAGATGAGAGGAGGCTAGGAAAATGGGACAGAAAGGATGAAGCCGAGGAGAGGATGGAAGAAGATTTTGAAGTTTCACGGACAGAAAAGCTGGAGGGGGGAATGGTTTTCACACCAATAAGCAGAGAAGAGTCCTCAGGCTGGCATTGTGCTGCTCGGGGGGGAACTTTTAAAAGTAATTGGTGACAGGACTACTGCAGCGTGGCTTTCGAAATATCAAACTCTGTACATGTGGGCACTGAGAACCACATTTAACACGTTTTGACATTAAGAAACACATAAGGAATTACAATAAGATTCTATAAATATTAAGTAGGATAGGCCAAGATATTTTAGCATGGTTTGAAAATAAAGCTGATGTCCATTTTAACATTGAGGTTGTCACATGTGTTAAGAGATACTCTTGGTAAGTTTGATAGGGACTGGAGTCTGGACCTCAATAGCATTTAAAGGTCCCATGTCATGGCCATTTCTACTGATCATAATTCCATTGTTGAGGTCTGTGTATGTGTATTCACTCTGTCCTAAACGGCTTGTTGGAGCTCCTGCCCCCCCCCCCTCCCTGTGAGCCCAGTGTGCTCTGATTGGTCAGCTCGCCCACTCTGTTCTGATGAGTCCACCACCGTTACAGCGGAACATCAATGATTATGTGTTACAATGGCGTTAGCAACCAGAAAATGAGACCAGTAATGACAAACAGATGAGAATGCTGCGTGGGGTCTGGGTGCCGTGTTGGCGGGACGTTGTGCGGCTCGCTGTGAGGAGGGGGACAGTGTGAGCTCTATTACTGGTGTTGTTTTCCTGGTTGCTGCGTGGAGGTCTGCGAGACAGCGCGAAACTCAGCCTGAACTCAGCCTGAGCACCATGGACGCGGGAAGGGGGGGTGCTGAGGGGGCTGCAGCACCCCCATCTGCGAGGCTCCACTAGCACCCGCACCTCCAAACGCGGCACACCTACAGTGTAAGCGCGCCACAGTTTCGCCGCTGCGAGGCTCCACTAGCACCCCCCCCAGCAAGTCACAGTTTCGCCGCTGAGAGTGTGTGTGCGTGAGGAGCTCCACGGATTGGTCCATTTGGGTATGGTCACGTCACTGTACCCAGCAAGAAAGAAAATAAATCTCCAATGAGGCGTTCTGGGGCAGCATAGACAGGTCTTTTCTGTGTTAGAGTTTTACTCGCTACAGGGTGTACTTTGAGGGTTTGTGACTCTGCAGACCGTTTAAATGCATACAAAGCTACATAACACACAAGGGGACGGGTAATAACCGGAAAAGCATGTCATGGGACCTTTAACACAAAAGAGGAATGGTTTAGTGTTTTTGAGGTAACTTATTTTGCAAATGCCTACTCCTGCTGTTTACTCCTTTTTTTGTGTCAATGTTTATTTTTGTTCAGTTGCTTCTTGTATGTTTTCTCTTAAGTGTGTGCCTTTGTATTGTATCATCTTATAACTGTTGAAAATATATAAATACTGAACAAGATAAGGATAGGCCAAAATCCACATCCTTTTCTTTAGATTTACATAATTCGTATGGAAGTTGGGAGTCTCCTCACCTTATGCAGAGCTTGTTGGGTGACAGGAACATCGGCCAGGAGGCGGGACCAGTCCAGCTCCATCTGTCTGAGCTGAGCGTTGATGGAGCAGAGATTTGGGTCTGATGTCTCTTTGTCCTCTAGATTTATTTCTAAGTCTCCATCCTCTTCCTCCCTCATCTGCAGCAGCTGGGTTCCCGCTCCGTTCACAGCCACCTTCAGTCCAGACTTTGCTTCCATGCCTTTGGTCAAAACCTAAAAAATAACTATCATGTTATTTTGTTTTCTATGGCAATCATTAACTTAATACAATTTATTTGTGGTGTAGACAGGGTTGTTAGCAACATATTATTTACTCCTGTTTATTTCAAGTAATTGGTACATTTCCCCACTTTAGGTCTACAGACATAAAAACTAGAAGCTTTAATTCGATAAAAGGCTATGTGGACAGACTTTAAAGGTAGGGTAAGTTTGAGAAACCGGCTCGAGATACACTTTTTGTTATATTCCATGGAATGCCCTTAACATCCCGATAGCAATGAATATCTTAAGTGCTTTGACAAAAAATCCATTAAAATCTGTCATCTGTGGAAGCCGTAGTACTGTAAAAAGTACGACCAATCATTTTAGCCGGCCCGGCTGAAATAACTGGATGGCCTACCTGCCTGTCAGCCTTCCATCTCGTGCCCTCATTGGTCATGTGCGCGTTCGTGTGTGTTGGAGGAGGGGCTCTATAAGGAAGTGGCAGATTTTCTCCGGTTGTGTATTTTCAAATTCTAGCGATCTCGAGCCGGTTTCTCCAACTTACCTACCCTACCTTTAAATATTAACCTGCTTGATCCTGATGTTATTTATTGTATATTGCAAAAAAAACGGTTAATGGTTAATTAAAAATAACATTAATTAATTTAACTAAAGTCTACATGTTAAAATGAAATTGAGCAGGTTTTATTTGTGCACGTCTTTGTTATTTACAACGAGTGAGTGTTGTGTGCTCACCACAAACTGGAAGTAGTGATCACGCCTCTGTTCAACATCCATCTCCTCCTCTGCTGACACAGAGAGCTGACATCTGTCAATCATCTCTCTGGCCTCGCCCATCCAGTCAGCCAGTACAGCAGAGTCACGAAGAAACCTGGTTATTGGTGGGAAATAACACATTTTGATTAACAATTCGACATAGCTACAGGATCATCTGCATATCTGTTATTGAAAAATATATATATCAATACATAATTAATATATATAGATGTAAAACATTCAGGTGCTTTTTGATTGATGCTACGCACATTTTTACAAAGACAAATATATTTTTCAGTACTTTGTTGGATTTGGATCGCATCATAAAATCCGGCCGTTAAAAAAACAAAAATATTATGAAAGTATAAAGATATTTCAACCACTCAAAAATATGGAATTTCAACATTTCGAAAATATTTGTTACTGTTAAAACTTGATAAAACTTGTGAAGTCTAAACAACTACATGTTTTCTCTCTCACCTGCTCCTTAGCTTCCTCTTCTTGTCTACATGTGTGCGTTGGCGCTCCACCTTCTTGTGAAGGGCTCTCCATCTTGCCTCCAGTTTGCTGTTGGCCACTCCCACTCCTCTGCAGCCCGCCTCCTGCAGCCGGAGCCCCGCCTCCAGCATCCGACTGCACCGCGCCTTATTCTCCTGCAGAACGCCACGCAGCTCCTTTGAAAAACACAAAACTTTATTAACTTTATTAACACTTAATCGCTTTTACTCAGAGTAAGATCACTATCATTGTCACGTATGTTTGTTCAGTACACAGCCAGTACTACACAAAGTAAAAGTACTACAGTATTTAATGTTGCATTATTTTTATTTTATATATATTTCTTCTTGCAATATGTTTATTTCTTCTTATTTCTTAAGTATGGTGTATGTTGAATTGTTGGAGAAGCCTAAACCTTTGAGGTTTTCATTGCCAAAAGCTATTAAATGAAGCTAGCTGTTGTGCATTTGACAATAAAGCCTATAAATTGAATGTTAAGCAGGCGGTTAGCTTAGCTTAGCATATAGACCGGGAGCTGGGGAAACAGCTAGCCTGGCTCTGATTTCAGATGGATAAAAGACACATTTCCAATCCTACAGCAGGGCAACAAGGAATATTAACCAAAATGAATGTTAGTTGGAGGTCGTGACTCGGCTAATAACTTACAGCAAAACCAAAGAACATCATGTACCCCTACAGAAAACAACCTTTCGCTTTTATGTAATTGAGCCAATTAGGTTTTTGAGTGCAATGCACAAAGTCCATCATGGAGAGCGCGCTAAAATATTCTCTAAATGAGCAGAACGGAACATTGCGAAATGCGCTCGGTCCTCGAGATGGCTGCTTGTTGGTACATTTCAATTATCCGCCGACGGTCAGAAAGAACACATTTATTCATAAAAATTACCTGGTAGACTGAGAGTTTCTCTGATATCCGCTCCTCTGAATTACCCTCATTGTGCAACTTGATAGATGAAGTTTCAATGGGACTCAGCAGGGAGTCTGACCAGGCTCTGTCCTCCTCCCACTGCGACCACATCTGAGACAGATGGAGAAATGATGAAGTGCAGGAAAATTGTTTATTAACATCAATGTGATTATTTTCCTATGACATTTCTATGTCTTATAAGTATGGGTTGAATTAACTGTTGCATAATTACAATCCATCCAAGTCATAACGTTTTGTTACGGAAGCCCTCTTAACACAAGGTGTATATATTGATATTATTAAAACACATTTCTAGGCAAAATACATTTATGAAACTAATGTAAGGCACTATTTACCTGAATGATCTTTAGATAGACAGACATCTTTTTTCTGATAGATTTTTTGGGAATGAGTACTACTGTATACTATGTCATATTAATGTACTTGCATTCAAAAATTAATCTTGCTTCTCATAACCTTCTTAATTCACAGCCACAATAACTAAGAGTCTACAGCAGGGGTCGGCAACCTTTTTGATATGAAGTGCCATTTAAAAAAAAAAAAATTATCAGCGTGCCAACGATCGAGAATTATCAACGGGGGGGGGGGGGGGGATGTTGAGGAGCTTGACGCTCGTGATCTATCAACAGGAGGGCGGGGGGGCCTCGCTGCGGGGACGCAGTGTGTGGACCTGTCAGCGCAACTTGCATGATACCGAATTTAACAACCACATTTAAATAATTGTTTTAAACGGCATAATAATAAGGACGATCGTCCGTTCTGTGATTCTCCAGAACACACATGTTATGATATTAGGGTCATGCAGAGTGAGATGAGATCGCTGTCCCTTTAAGAGAGAGAGAGAGGGGTTTGTGGTGTGCGTGTGAGTATGTTTCTGGAAGTGAAACGAGGCAGCAGAAAAACAGAGGTCTGTGATGTATTTTGTGAAACAGAAGAACAGCTAAATAAATGCAACGGCCTCTCAAGAAGAGCTCGCCTCTCTCCAGTCATTTAAGCTAAAGTGGGTTATTGAACCTGAAGCTCGTTGCTTCTGCCCTCCTCGACTACGGTCTGGGAGCCGACAGGAAAGTTCAACACACAGATGGCCAGTCCGCCCCTTTGTAGCATATTATTTCAATGAGAGATGAGCAGATCGCCACTGGGCTTTCAACTAAAGACACACACAGCCACGCAAAAACTGCGACATTTGTAAAGCTCCTTATGGGTACTGCAATTTGTGAAGTGCTTTCTTCCGTGGTGAAACGATCAGCACTGCACCACGGAGGAAAGCGGCAGAAAGTCACCTGGAGTTAAAGAGAGCGGGGCTGCGTTGCGTGCATGGCTTCCTTCTGCAGGTAACGGGGAGACGCGCTCTGGCGGCGGTCTCGTTCAGGATCCGAAAATATAATTTAAATATTTTGCACACTTATTCGACTTATTCCTAGTGTGCCACTGGCTACGGTGCCGCGTGCCAATGCTGGCACGCGTGCCAGGGGTTGCCGACCCCTGGTCTACAGCCATGGCAGCAGCTCTGTGAGAGGATACTTTGTTAATGTTTAGATAATCCTTTCATTGCTGTATTTCATAATTATTTCCTTACCTGTAATGTCTCCTGCATCCTGGTCCCTTGGTCCAGTCCTTGCTGCTGCAGCCGGGCTACCTCCACCTGCAGGCCCATCACCACACCCTGCCACCTCTGGAGGGCGCTCTCTGGGACTCTGTGGGTCAGGTTCTGCAGGATCCTAAAGTGATGGCCCAGGAACTGGAAGAACTTCTGAAAACAAAGTAACGTCAAAAATAATTTAAAAAAATGTATACACCAAAGGCCTTTGAACAGAATTTCCTTGTATATCCAACCGTATGGCTGCTGAGCTGCTGCTGGAGATGAGCTCTGTCGCAGAGCTCTGCGTCAGGCTTCTGCGCGAGGCGTTCAGGGCCCAGAACTAGCAGCTCCTGCAGGCTGAGGACCAGACGCTCATACTGCTGCTGCAGCTCTACACTGTGCTTCAGCTCCTCACAGCGGGAGCGAACACCACCTAGAGAAGTGTCCAGCTCATCCTGCACATACAGGAAAAAAATATATATATGTTAGTGGCAACTGAATGACAACTTATTTAGTTTGATATTGAGAAGGTAGGATTCCAAAATGTGTTCACACAAAGCAGACTTGGTTAAATTTGACATGACACAGCAGCTTTCATACCTGCAGCTGTGAGGCCTGCTGGATGAGGGAGGCAGGCAGGTGGTGTCGGTGCACCTCCTCCATCAGGGAGCTCACCTGCTCCACCTGCTGCTGCAGAGACTCCTGCATCTGAACCACAGCCTGAAAAATAAAAACATATACACTGTGACAAATAAAAACGTTATGATGTCGACTGAGAAACGTTTTAAATCTCTTGTCTGACACAAATACATTCATAAATAATTTCTGAGATCTTTTTATGTCTTTTTCATCCGACCAGAAGCCAAAAAGTAAAATATTTGAGATGCTAGATAAATTATTAAAATTAAATTATAATTATAATTAATACAATTAACTGATTAATGAAATAGTCAATTTTGTTATCAATCAAACAACCACTGCATCTTTAAAGGTGGGGTAGGTAATTTTGGAGAATCCAGCTCGAGTGCGCTAGAATTTGAAAATACACAGCCGGAAAAAATCTGCCACTTCCTTACAGAGCCCCTCCTCCAACACACACAAACGCGCACATGACCAATGAGGGCACGAGATAAGTTTGTGCACAGATGGAAGGCTGACAGGCAGGTAGGCCATCCAGTTATTTTAGCCGGGCCAGCTAAAATAATTGGTCGTGCTTTTTACAGTACTACGGCTTCCACAGATGACATTTTTTTATGGATCTTTTGTCAAAGCACTTAAGATATTCATTGCTATCGGGATGTTAAGAGCATTCCATGGAATATAACAAAAAGTGTATCTCGAGCCGGTTTCTCAAACTTACCTACCCCACCTTTAAGAACAATCAAACATCAGAAAGATTACGTGTAGCTTGTTAAAGTCAATATATCTCCATGGAAACAGTACCTGCATTTGTTTGTTAAGGTCCAGAGATCCATTGAATTCATGAATTATTTGGTGAACCGTCGCCTGGTTAGAAGTGAAGGCTGCATGCAACTCATTCAGTTGTATCTGTCGGTTAAACACACATCACTGATCCTTTAAACTGCATGCAAACAAGGGTTTTATTTCAATAAACAAGGTTATTTTCTTTTGCATTTAAAAAGTTATATTTAAACAGTACTGGTAATATACATTTGTTAGATAATGTGCAAGAGGAGGTGAGTTTTGACAACAAAAGATAGTAGGACACAGATTATAAACACTAATACAGTTAAGATATAAATAAGATCTTTTTATTTAAACACTGCAGAGTATATGAGTGTCTTTTGGTTTGACCTTCACAGATAATAAGAGTTAGCTCTGACCTGTTGCTGGGCCGCCTCCTCCTGCAGGTGTGTGAGCTGCTGCTCTCTGCTGCTCAGAGCAGCCTGCACCACACACAGCACTCTGCACAGAGCCTCCACACACTGCTGACCGCGCTCTGACCCCAGCACACGGCTGACCTCTGACCCCTGAGAGGACAGCTCACTGCCAAGGGAAGCTAGCGCTGCTGACAGGCTCTGGCATGAAATACAAGGGAGGTTTATTAGTGAGTCTGCATTATAATCATAAGCTGGAACACGTTTGTGTCCAGTGAAGAGGGCAGTTTAGGTCTTTCAGATATCTTTGAGATATTGTTTTTATAAATGCTGCAGATTTTCATTTTTGATTCAGCCTTTTTGGGCATAAAAGACCTTAAAACCACAAACAAAATGATTGATGGGTAGAAGTAAAGGAATCCTAAACCGACCCAAAGATATATCAGTTTCTTCTTTACTGAAGATGAATCTGAGCGGAATAAGAGATGCAAGGTCTTATATCTGACTTTGTTTCCTACTTCGAATTTGAAATAAAATGTGAATGTTTTGCATTTATAATAACATATCATTCAGTTCTATTGACTTCACTTTTAGTCTTAGTCAAACTCAAAGTCCCTTTGACTCATGCAAATGCAAATGCACCACTCTAAATATTGTGAGTAGCAGAGATATGCTCGTACATTTCTTCATATAGTCATTCAGCATAAATAAGCACAAAATAAATACTAATAGACTGAGTCCAATACCACCTTCACTCGACTATTAAGGGCAGCAACACATTTTAAATGAGAGAAAGCCTAATTGATTGATCCCTGTTTGAATGTGTGTTGAAGAGAGTCCTACCTAATATTTAATATGTATATATGAACCAAATATGTATGTTCATTTAATTCATTTACTTAACTGTATATCATTTTATTTGTATCTTTCATTTTATTAATATTTAATCTTGTGTGAATCTGTGCTGTCCTGTTTTTCAATCGTACCTTGTTGCTGTTTAAACTATTGCATTTCCCCACGGGGATTAATACAGGTCCATCTTATCTTAATCTTATGTTACCTGCAGCTGCAGCAGCCTCAGCTGAGTGTCTTCTTCATGTGTCGTCCCAGCAGGTGAGTGCAGCAGGTTGTTGAAGGAGGACAGGGACAGGGACGCTCCGTGCAGCAAATGAAACAAACCCTCGTCCAGCGTCTCATGGGAGCCGTCCTGGGGTGAGACACATTTAAGATATGGTTTTAGAGCAAGATTTATTTCTCTCATGATCCCTGTATCGTTGCTGTACTCTCATGTATGGGTCAAATATGATATGACTTTTATGATAAACTTCTTAGCCATTCTTTTGTTTCTCACATTCAGGGTGTATGTGCTGTTGACACTGTGTTGGTGACATGGGAGAATTCATAACGAATTCACAAAATAAAGGAGAATCCTATGTGTAGTTTTTATTCAGTTAGATGCACATGTTGTTGACTACTTTGACTGTTGTTGTGATGCATTTAGTGTCGGATGTTATTATTAACCAGGAGGTGGAGGCTGTATGATCTTCACTCTGGCATCACTCCTCTCTCACTGGCTGTCTTTCATGTTTGTTGTTCCCTTCTCTTATTTTGTTAAGTGTGATGTCAAAATGTGTGTCCTGTGGTGAGAGATGAACAATCATCATGGCTGGCATTCCATTTTCCTTTTCAATAACAACATTTCAAATTAAAAGGTGACATTTATTTGTAAACACAATTGTTTTCTTTCCTTGCTTTTATCAGAGGGGCATCTGAGGTTGATTCAAGTTTGTTTTGTTGACTTTACTATCCATCACTTATTACAGTATGTGAGTTTACAAAATAAGTATATATTAAAAAGATAAAAAAGTAAGACCAAATTGTTAAAATGTGCTTAGTCCCTATTTTCCCGTACAAAATAGCAAATTAAAATGTTCTTTTAGTAAAGTATGGCAATCTCAGTTTCTTTACAAATCTGCAATTGACCTTAACACACCTCTATCATTTTAAATCACAGTAGAATATAAAAAAAATCATATTAATATTGAACTATAGGTCAGGATAGCTGATACATATGGTTAATGTTATATTCCTTATCTTCCAAAACAGATATGGTTTAAAACAAAGGTCCCGACTCCTTAGGATTATGACCCCTCCATTCAGTATCATACAATAGAGAGGGGTCACGTGTGAAAAGACATGTTATAGCCATGTGTAGTATCAGAGGTCACATGTCCCGACACCCTGTATATTCTGTGATAAACAGCCATAAGGAGCCTGTACCTGACTCAGAGTTTCTGTCGCTGTGAGTCCCAGCTCTCTCAGTTGGCTGATGTGAGTTTGGAGCTCTTTCAGGGTTTGTGTGCCAATTATGCGTCCTGCTGTTCCATCACTGTGCCTCGTAGATGAGTCTGTCACCTTCAGAGAGGAGGAGAGATGGGGGGGGGGGGGGGGAGAGAGAGACATCAGAAGTAGGAGACACACATGACTCTTATGAAGCCCTGCAGGACTCCCCATAGTGACAAAAAGACAACTAAGTGCCTTCAGCTCAAAGAAGGTGATAATCAAGCGTGGCAAGAACACACATTTTTCTTCTTTTCCGTATTTGAAAGTGATAATCAAGCAGAAGGCTGACGATGAAGGCCATACCTCTGAAGGGGGAAGCAGCCAGCTCTCCTCCAGAGAAAGCAGCCGGCTGTGAAGGCCGTCCCACTTCCTGTGAGCCGCATCCTCGTGCACAGCAGACCCAGCAGGAGGCCACCTGCAGGGGGGGAAGAGGAGATAGTTCACACCTAATAACACTTAATACTTACTTTCTCTCTTTCTTTCATATCTGTTTTTCATCCTGCTTTCTTTGTGTTCTTCTGTCTGTATTTGTTTTTTTGTATTATTGTTGTTGAGAATCTCATCTATTTCTCTTTCATTATTGGCAAATCAACCTAAAAACTAATTGAATTATTGGATAAGTTAAATAAAATAATTCAAAATGGCAAACATTTCATTTAAATAATACATTCTCCTTGTTTTATTCTTTTTTTAAATCTACAGCAGCCTTACTCTGTCCTTTTGTTTAACAGGTACTGATAATAACTGAATCACTGAAAAAAAGTATGTTTGATTCTCAATAAAAAGCCCAAAAGAATAATAACTGAAATAGTATTATTGTGTAGGACATAATATAAATAAATCATATCCCACACACTATGTGCTGTACATATATATTCAGATCACATAAATAACAGAGTGATGGTCAGGTTGTTACCGTGGTGACAGCGGGCTCTGGTCCTCTGTGTCCGGGCTGTGGAGCCGTCCTCTGCCGCCCTGCAGAGCGATGGCCTGGGTCAGACCTCTCTGCTCCGTCAGCTGCTGCTCCAACTCCTGCACACAGAGGGATAGAGTGAGATGTGCAGAACAGTAAACACAAACATTACGGTTATTTACTGCTTCTAGCTACTTTTTTTGTTTTGTCAACACAACAGTGATAACTTTTATTTATTTTGGGCTTTGCTTTGCTGACTGAATTCCAGAGCAACCTGAAATTAATATTAATGATTAAAATGAAAAAGGAAACCCATTTACCACCAACAGATATCATTCAATCAATGTACCGGTTTACTTTTAGAAAGTGGTTAATATTGGCTTTTTAAGATCTCATCCACTTCTACAATGGACTGAGTTAGTAACATATGATGTGTTTTTACTGAGGATTTCAGACTTTAATTAAGCATTTGGATGTCTAAAGTGGCTGATATTAGTTATATTAAAAAATATGAACTTGATGTATGGTTATATACTTCAGTAAAACCTTCCATCAGTATATCAGTACCTTCTGCTGCTGCAGGCTGCTCTGTCGGAGCAGTTTGTTTCTGGGAGAGGAGAAGATCTCCTGAACACTGCTGCTGCGCTGCAGCCTGGACTCCAGGTGGCGCTCTGACTGAGCTGCTGACTTCTGAGAGGAAATAGGTAAAGAAGGGACACAGGGAGGAACAATTAAAAAATATCAACACCACAAGCATGTGTTACAGCCTTTGGTGGATTGAAGAAGTGAAGAAATATCAGTTCAAATCATCAGATTTCAAATCAGTTTTGTTTTATGTTTAGGTCCAGTTTTGACGTGGTTCAAGCTGGAACAATCAAACATTGCTACCATAGCGAAAGGCTGTCCTCAGTCACAGTTATGTAAAAAACATTAAACACAGTAGAAGTAGACTTTCAGCGCTAAGACTTAAGTGACTTTTGATTTGCTTACTAAGATTTGTGACTTGCAGGTATGAAACTAAACAGACCTGCTCGAGCGATTAAAGAGACAGGCCTTAATAATGATCAGGGAGTGACTTTGGCACACGTGAACTGTCTGACAGCAGACACACCTCCACACTGTCACATTTGTTTGATCCTGTAAGCTAAATAAAGATGAGAAATGAAGGAGAAATAGGAATACGATTGATCCTAATAATTCGACGTGTGTTTGGTGGGAATGATTATATTGAAGAAAATGCATCAACATAAAAGATTACCTAACTTAACATGAACTACTAGTATCTTTCAAATATTGTTCAGACTACATGTGCACTACTTTTGAGGCAAAACAAATTGTCAGGATTCCCATCTTAACATCACATGAGAAATGACTTTTTCTCATGCAAAAACATGTTGGTACAGAGAAAGACAAGCAAGACTCAAACTACGATTTTAAATACTAAGTTAAACAGCCAGCTCATTCTGACTGATGTGTTGTCAAAAAGTGTTCTTGATTGAAGCTATTTCTTTAGATTTTAGCCCCAAGTTGGGTTTTATCCTGCAACTAAATGTATTAAACTTACTCTACATGTACTCTTTGAATTGATTTCTACTCCTACATATAGCTTGTACCTGTCCCTGTGTCTCAGTGTGTGTGAGGGTCCTCTCCTCTCCCTGTCTGTCCTGCAGAAGCTGCTGGAAGGACACCAGGTTGGCTTTCAGGAGCTCCAGTTTGGAGGAGAGCAGCTCGGCCGCCTCGTCCTGCTGCTGCTGGTCAGCCGCCGGACCGAGAGCCGCCAGGCTGGAGACCCTCCGCTCGATCTCCAGGAACATGTCCTGTACAGTAACACACACACACACACACACACACACACACACACACACACACACACACACACACACACACACACACACACACACACACACACACACACACACACACACACACACACACACGCACGTGAATCATTGATTCTATTAAGAAGGACTGATGTGCTCAGCAGGGGGGGAAATGAAATGTAACATAAAATGGCATAGTGGGTTTTATTTCCTCTGTATGATAATGAGGTTTAGATAGCTTCAGTTTGAGAGTTTGTATGTAGATGGATCTGATGTTAGGTAATGATGCAGCACAAAGGTTCATAATGTTTAAGTTAGATCAGGGTCAGTCTCTGGGATCGAGGCTCTTTAGTGAATTTGAATGGCAGACATGATCTCACTAGTTGCTGTTTGTTGGCCCACAATGCTTCATTCAAACGTGACATGTGACGTGTTCAACCTCTGAATCTTTAATGGAGGCTCGAGTTACACTCTCTGGGTCAGCAGGGAGTGAATCCTGGGAGGAAAATACCTTCCAAAGCTTTGAATGAACACACAATAGTGAAGCCTGTGAGGGCGGGACTCTAGACTGCAAACCATTATAACATTCAGATTCAAATATCCACCATGAACTGAAGTCTTTCACCAAGTTTTTAGTACATTTAATCATCCTTTTTTTTCACAGAACAGCACAAATATGTTTACTGGCTGTGCCCAATATCTACGTAAAAGGATTATGGCCACATGTGAAATCATTTTCAGATCTTTTTTTAGTTATGAGATTAATGTCAGAATTCTGAGAATAAAGTCAGATCTCAATAAAAATGTAACATGTGGCCCTAATCCTCCTCCGTAAATATCCAATATAAATTGACAATAAAAAACAGTTGATTAGTCTACAGTGAGCTGTAACAGCTGCCGTCTGCTGCAGCATGTTTTCATGTGTTTGTTTGGTCGTCAGGGAGAGTTTGAAACTAAAACATTTGATTGGATGATTTCTGACATCCAGCCAAACCGCACCCTCAATGCAAATACCAGCAGCCGGCATTAAGTGTTTGTAAAGTGAACTCTTTACAAGTCATTCGTTTTCTTTGCCCTCTAACACATTACTGCTCCATATATCTAAGACTGTACAAACAGTGAGACAGCCACAGTACATATTTACGCTGTAAAAATGTTTGATGTTTGAATGTAACGCTTTGAGTTAATGTTTAGTGAGACAGCTGTTCTTTCACTTTCTCCAGCAGTCCTCATTTGAATGTCTTTCATTTACCAGCAGAGTTAAAGCAATGTAAGTATTAGTAGTTTGCATAGAAATAAGTATGGATTAATTGCTAAAATTCTGAATAAAATTATGAAACCTAATTAAGTTCAAACTGTAATGACACAAACATGGCATGAAAGAAAGCTTAGATTGTTGGGTGAATATTTGCTCCTCTGAGCAATAAGGAAGCACACAAGCCAAATTAAAATATGACACTACAAGTAGCAATACTGTCTGCTTTATTATGTTATCAACTTAAATATAATAAAATATGCTGACCACTAACCTTTGGGTCAAATCTATAACATCAGACTGCTGGAGGAAGCTTCCAGACATATTACACTCACAGAAGTTCAAATGACTGACTCCTCCAGCACATTGTCTTTTATGAATTGCCTTATTTTCATTTTATTTTTCAACTGTGTGTAAAGCACTTTGAATTGCATTTGTGTATGACATGTGGTAAACAAATAAACCAACATTAAGCTTTACCTACAGAACCAGAAGTGTTCCAGGGTCATACATGATTAACATTTTAACCTCTGAGCTGCTAAAACATCATCAGCTCGTAGTTTTTATAACATTTTGCAAGATCTGAAATAGTCAGCAATGATTTGGAAATTACTCATGTGTCATATTTTGCTCTTGAAACAGCATTGTGCAATTTGAAATGTGTGTAGTGTCCCATGACCCGACCAGTGATTTATCATAGCATATATTCTTATTTTAGGCCAAACAGACGCAGGATTATGAGCTCAGACTTAAAGTGCTGATATGAAAAGCTAGTTTTTGTACTTCTGAGTTCGTAACTTGAGTCTGAATCAGTGTTTCTGTAAATTAAGTTTATCCAGAGGGAAGAGATTATCAAAATAATGAATGTGGACGTTTCTGGTTTCAAGACATTTCAAAAATAAAAGTGATATTTCATTGTTGGTGTTCTGCATGACATTACAGGCAAACTAATTAAATCCAGCATGAAACATTTCATTTTGGACTCAACTGCAAGAGATTTGAGATTATAAAAAGGCCAGAAGAATGTACAGATAATTTAGAGTACTTTTGGTCATACGGTGATATTTTAGACAATAGTGTTTTTAAAATTATGTGGTGCGAGTTTGGGAAAGATCCTCTCCTATGACATGACAAGCACATATATATTTACAATTTTGTTATTTTAAAGTAAATTACTATACAATCTATGTCTTTATTCCTCTGAATATTTCACATATATATATATATATATAAAAATCTCTTTGGTTGCAAAGGTTCTTAAGTAGACACAGATTCATTTTGAGCCCTCTGATATTCTAGCAAATGTAGCAAATATTAAGATTTTGACCAAGAAGTTGTTTATTTTTATATTCTTCTATTGTACCTCTTATTTGTTACAGCCTAGGAACCATTGATTTAGTAAACTGCAGGTCATACATCTTTCCACCTGAAAATTAAGCTTAACATATTCATATTATTGTCAGACTAATTCTAACTCACTGCAGATATCTTTTGACCTGAAAAGTCCTGTAGTAGTGACCTAGTTCCTGGTGGGCGGGGCTTACCTGGCAGGTGAGGAGTTGCTGCTCCACGCTGTCCTGCATGGTGGTTGCCCCGGCAGCAGCTCCCCCGGCTACCAGGCTCCTCTGGGCTTCCTGCAGCCACAGCTCCAGCTGGCCCACTCTCTCCAGGCACACATGGAGAACGGCTGAACCTCTCTGCTCCAGGGTCACAGGTAGAGAGGGGGAGGAGAGGAGGGTGAGAGCTGCACTAAGTCCTAAGCAAACTCTAGCACTATGTTGATTCTACCAGAACAGGTTGTAGCTCTAATATTGATCTAAAGAGACCCTTGTGACCGGTCATTCCCATTCTCACACAACCACTTCCAGTCTGTTTCCCCTGCCTGGTTATCTCTCTTTCCCAGGCTCTTGGTTTCTTGTCTTTCTTTCCCTCTCTGCTCCACCCACCTGTGGCAAAACCACTTCCTGGAGCGGTGACCGGGCTTCAGTGACAGCGACTGTTTATCACAGGCGGAGCGAGAGAATGACCGAGACATTCACACAGAGAGAGAAAGAGAGGCCTCAGGCTACAGGGGAGGAGCTGAGTAAGCAGTAAACACTTCCTCTTCAGACTGCACTTTGTAGCTGTCAATCATCTGATCCATTGTTCGATGACAACTTCATCTATGACCCCTGCTTCTTTTTTACGAGTGAACTATGAGCATTTTGCATGGTGCAAACCCACAATGCATCACATTAACTCTGTAAATACAGTTGCCAAGGAACTAGTGAGGATTTGGCAGGCGGTGAACACCAAGAGTCAACAAACCTGCTTTGAATGTCATTATTAATCACTTGACTGAAACCTTTACCAAGCTTTGATGTCACTAAAGTGTAATGTGAATATACTGAGGCCTCCATTTCTTACAGGAGAACATCTTGATAAAACTTTCTCTCATTTTTACAAACTTGTACCTTCAAATTGCTCCAATTATGAATTAACAATTTGTGCTTTGGAAGTGCATGATCATGCTCTTATTTTGTATTTAAACAAGATTTTTGTCAGCTCAGTCAATCAGTCAGTTATTTATGTGCAACCAGGTTCCATCTCTGCATCCACTCCTGCACTGTTAGAGGGTTAGGAGGAGGACGGTGCTGTTGTGTGTGTCATGCTGGAATTTGGAATTTGAGTGTGACCTTATTTTTTAAATGTTGATACGCTGCAAGACGCTGGCCCTGAGTGTCATCCTGGTTTTGCAGTATGTATGTAGATGAATCAGTAGTGCATGTTTTTTGGACCGTTGTGACAGAGTTCACAGATGTGTGTGTGTGTGTGTGTATTTCTTCCACCCCTCTGGGTCATCCCCCCTCCATGCAAGCCCCCTCTGTCCCTTCATGAGCTCCTGACACAGAGAAAGAGAGACGGAGGAGTGGATCACTGTTGTGGGTTTATTTATATTTCTGCTTGTTTGTATATGTAGACAGAATGGAAATAGCAAAAGTGGAACAATGTACAAGTACAGGACATGCCATGTAATGTAAGACATCTCAGTATTTCTGCTTTAAGGGGAAAACCTTGTACCTCCAAAAATGGCAGCTTCTAGTGAGTTATTATTGCTCTTATGAAAATATTGATAAGCCTTTAAAAAATGTGCATAGGAGGAAGTATTTTTACGAGTTGAGTACATTATTTGATTACAATTTGGAGTTACATGGTTTTCACCTGCCAGCAGTAGTGTGTTAATCAGGAATCATGTCAAACCAGTGCATTTTCATGGCCAACCGTCATCTTAGAAAAGGTAACTTTTTTATGTACAAAACCGGCATTGTCGATAGTGAAAGTAAATATGCTGATTCATAACAAAGCGGGAATCTTTCTGCACACTCTCCTGCTGCCAGGCAGTGACTGAGCAATTCATTGAAGTCATAACTATTCAGGTAATCAATCAAATGGGTAAACAACAATTTATTATCACGTTCAGCATATGAAAATTCAAATAGCAGATGCATGTAAGCAAGCAACTTTATTTTTAACAGATTCGCTCTGCATTTGCTGGTAAATAAGATACCTATATGATACATTATAAAACATGGTTCACAAAATATGTCTAGTAGTACACTTTGTTTGGCTTTTATAAAAACATATTAACCCAAAGTGAAGGTCCATGCAAAAGCTTATTACAGACCAAAAACCATCCACCCACATGCTAAATACCATCACTGCTACTTTTCTTTGGTAAAATAACTGTCACACTATCATTCACTTCTCACATAGTTGCAATATAATCTGCTGAGTCATATTAATGTACACAGGCAAGCCCACAACTCCTTTAAAGAGAGGTCATTTTGGGAAAAGTAGATATTTGGCACGTATCAGATTTGATTTAATTACTTTCTGTCATCTATTTTATTTTTCACGATACAGTAGGAAACACTGATTCAAATTCCCCCATGTAAACAAAAAGTCCACAGCTGTGAACTGTTTCAATTCTCTGCCATGTAAATGCACTTAGGGTTCAGACATTTTGATTAAAACCTGAAGGTGTCAGCTTGGAGCTATCAGGTTCTCTTGTTTCTAGGAAAATGGGGGTTCTACGTTTAGTTCAAGAAAGAGTTTGGGTGTAGAGGAAACGGTTCTAGGAAAAGTCCAAATCACATTCAAGGTTCAAGAACGATTCTAGAGGAAACTAAAAGAAGTGGGAGTTCTAGGTTTGATTCTAGAAGACGTGCAAAGTGTGAACGTTTATTTGTGGAAAAGCATTGATTCTAGAAAGCTCTATGGTTCTATAAGACATTATCGTTAGAGTTGAGTGTAGAAGAAGGGCACGTTGATGTTGGTCGAGAAGAATAAGGGAGTCCTTAGAATATCTAAGAAGGAGATCCAGAACTTGTTTTAGAAGATTCTAGATAAAGCCAGGCTTGAGTCTAGACGGGGGAGTTCTTTGGTTAGATCTAGAAGAACTTTGAGTATATACAATAGGTAGTCAAAGAGAGGGATTTAAAGATTTGTTCTGCCCATTAATTAAGTAGATTCTTTTAGAAGATTCTGGAAGAACATTCTAAATATAAACTTGATTCTGGATGGGTTCAAAGGTTGAACAAGTAGGGAAATCTATGATTGGTTGTAAACACTTGTGTTCCAGGCTGATTTCTAGAAGAAGCAGAGGAATCTAAGCTTGCCTCTAGAGACGGCTCTTTCTGCCCATGGCTTTAAAGAAGCTCAAAGTTCAATGCTTGACACAAGAAGAAGTGAGAAGTTCTAGCGATACAAGTTCTAGATCTAGGAGACTACACATTTCTGCTGGGAGCCAGAGGAGGATTTGGAGGATTTGGAGACTTCTACGGTGGAGGATGTGTTTACCATGCTCTCAGGCTGTGTCTGAGTTCTGACTGTGCCCAGGGGTTTTGATAAAGCTTCAGAGGAACTTGCTTCTGTGGCATCCTGAAGAAACATGAGCAGGGTTAGAAGATCACTCAGGTCAGTCAGTTAAACACAAGGATCATTTAGTTAACGGGAGAGAAGGATTCACACAGTTACTGGTACACTCTGTTACAGAATTATATCAAATAATGTTATTTACAAATATTTGTTATGTTATCTTGTATAACTGTTGATGGTGAAACACACTCAATGGCTCCTCCTGAATATGTCAACAAAATATTAAAGTTGGCATCAATTATATAAATGTAAAATGTACATTTACTTACATTTTACACTACCAAACACCCATAATTGAGATTCATTAAAAGATAAAGCTGGTGATATTCTTTATATTTGTTATTGTACAAACAAACACTCGTTTTTTATTTTTCTATCCTGTCTTTGACACTGCTTGTTCCCTCACTCATTTCTGACAATACAAATTCATTAGCTTATATGGAAACCAAGGTATACCAGACTTTGGAGACAAGGGCTAGACTTGCTATCAGGATCAATTCAATGTTGTTTTAGTTCTTCTGATTAGATGTGTTGCCAGTATGAACATATAGCATAGCACCAGACGTATCCTATTTTAAAAAATCCAATAGGAGCCAATGAGGATGTTTGACAGTATTGAGAGTTTATTTACCTGTCTATCTTCTTTAGTCGGTTCAGTGCTTTGTCCAGTGGCCCCTTCAGTCTCTTGTTCCTAATACCAACAATGATACAGGTTTAACAAAATCTATATAAACAACCAAACCATAATATGAAATGGCTGAAAGAGAGAACAATGTTTGTGACATTTTATTGGCAATTTACTCATCTACAGTGCCGACACACACACTACAAACACTGTTCAATACTGCTCTCTAGAGGCAGAACAAAATCCAGAAACACATATGCAGGGAGGTTTGAGTAGAATGGAAAATGCACTGATTGTAGAGCTGTGTTAAGGGTCAGGAGAGGGTTTGTGGAAGCAGCTGATATGAAGAGCATGGTAGTAGAAGAAGGGGAGGGAACTCATTGCCAGTGGTAAAACACAGTGACCCGGGTCAAAAAAGGTAATTTTGTTAGAAGTGCTTTAATATGCCATTGGTCATTTGACCTCAGGTGTGTTACTAAATAAAAATAATTACTTAGTTTTAGATATCCACCTATAATTTGGTCTAAAAAACGTTACATTGTAAGTAGCTGACCTTAAGTCACAAGGAACTCCGGGAGGGGGTTAAAAGAGATGACCGCAGGACAGAGATAGGACAGAGAAAGAAAATGGATGATTGATTTTCCACTGCAGATCTAGATCCTTTTACCTCTGGCGGAGCACCCAGGAAAGCATCCCAGAGCCACCATAAAACCCCTCCTCCACCTTCTGCAACTCTCTGCTCCTCACTCCCTTTTGACTCTCTGGCTTCTTCAGCCTGGAGCACGCCTTGATGCTCCCTCTGCTGACACGGAAACACGCTCATGTGCAGTCACACGGGGGAGGGGGGGTAAAAAGTGCATATGGGACACTGAGCTGGCACCTGTTGCTGCTAATGTTGTTTTTTAACCATTGCACTAAAACCAGCTCTAGTGTATCTTTAGGGGAGACAAGCTAATCTGAAGGCAAACGTGAACCATTGTGCAAAAGTCTTCTCAGACACAGGAGTCCGCTAGTCCCCAAGAGTGTTATGGTTTATTATTGAATATAATATCATATTCAAATATTCTAAATATCGTGCACACATCTTTGGGATGATGTTGCTCTTAATTCAGCCTCACTTATTCTGTTACTTCAGGATCTCCACTAGAATCTCCCCCTGCTCACAAATGTAGTCAAACCAAAAACTTCAGCTCAATGTCCCACTGATTGCACTTTTAACAATATGTAGGACTCAACGCATTTTTGCATAATGATTTGAAATAGAAGAAAATAGTAGTATTAAGCATGCAGGGAAAAAACACATTTGTTAATACATTTGGTTAAAAACACATGGAGGAATGGGTAAGCAGGCATGTTAGTACAAACCATTCTAAACTTTGTTCTACCGTCAAAGAGTCAGGTGGTGAGTTTTTGATATTCATAACCCATGATTTATTATTCAGTGATGTTTATTTCATGTCAATTACAGAACAGTGAGAACAAAATCGCTTTAGTCGCACTCCAGACAGAATTAGAAATACAGTGCTCAAACGATCAGTTGTTTCTTTTAGTGTTCAAAGTAAGTACATTAGTATTACTCTGCACCTC